CTAGCATCTCCTCCAGTCCGCACAGGGTAACTAAGCTGGGTATTTGTCTCCTTTGCAGCCATTTTTATGACAATCCCATCCAGTTTGTCGGACAGTCCGCTTTCCAGTTCTTGCCAAAGCTGCACACTCTGTAAGTTCATCACTCGGGTCCTTAAAGAGGTAACACAACTGGCAGTCCATGCCTCCGGGGCCAGCTGACTGGGCATCTTCCATCCCCCTTCCCCCTTGGCCTTCCAAGCCCTTGTGTCTGGAAGTACCTTCACCAGGGGATCTTGGCAGAGCTCTGCATGGCCCATGTTAATGATCCAGGTGTCCACGGTCACTCAGAGCAACCTCCTTTCTCACTGCAAGCGGGGCAGGGCCTGGCTGCTAGCCCCCCAGGCCTCTCCAGTGTCCCTGCACCTCTCTGGAGAACCATCCCACTCACCAAACATCAGTGTGCCTCCCGCCACGGCCCCGCTTGAGCCGCAGACACTCCTTAACTTGCTGCATTCTCCATGTGCCGAGTCTCACACCACTGTGCAGCACTGCCCGGCCCTGGCAATACCGTGCTGCCAGGCATAGGCGTCAAGGGGACAGCGGCTCACAGATCAGACACCGAGTAACGTGTTGCCATAGCAGTGTGTCACAGCTGGAAACAGCCGCTTTCCCCTGACAGGCATTCGCCTGCATCTCCTCTGGCACCACTTGCCATTGTGTAGTGCATCTTCTTGACCAGCCAGGCCCCCACATGGAGTGTTTTGCAGCCAATCCTCCGTTGGTGCACAGCAGATGGGCCCGTGGCAGAGGTAACCTCAAATGGGCTCTCTTTACTAGCCTCATAAAGCCGCTGGGTGCATAGTTATATGCTCCAGCTAATAAAATAACTTCTAACGAGAACCACGCAGCGTTCTTTAGCTCCCTAGGATAAAGGCACCGGGGAGCTTGGAGGAGATCCCCTAGCATCATTTTGTTGTTTGAAGCAATTTGCCAAGAATGTCAGGGTTTGGAGGAGGGGGTTCTGACCCTGCCAAGTTTCCTGGGGAGTAAACGTCTGAGTCCCTGGTTCAATGCATCTGTGCCCTGCTCCATGCCCCAGCCAACAGTGACACTCTCCTGGGAGAGGTATCTTCAGGAGTGGGGGTGCTTCCCACCTTCCTAGCTAGGCTTGGGCCACCACCAGTCAGCTGCCAAAGCTTTTGGAGAAGAGGGGATTTGAAGCTCCAGCACCTGCCCTCACTCCTTCCAGTTTGCTCTGCCCGTCTTCCATATGACCTTCCCTGAGCTTGTCCGTCCTTCTCTGCAGGTCACTGAACGGAGCGACAGACATCAGAGAATTCCCAGATCTTAAAGGAACCACCAGCCTAGAAATTCTGTGAGTGGCAAGTCTCCCTCTTCCACGTTCCTTGTGGTATTTCCTTCCAGGCTTCGGCATGGGCTCGGAGGAGACAGCGTTTACCAAGCTATGCAGTGCAGGGTCTTAGACACCACGGAAGACTCCACTGCCTATCATCTAGGCTCCTCTCTGCAGCTGCTGCCAGTAGCTCCTCCTGGAGTCTCCCACCCTTGCCCGCCATGTGTCTCTTTGCCACTGTGTTCTCTGGCTCACCACCTCCTCCCCACTTGGTCTGTAAAGCCAGCTACCCACATGGCCCTCCAGAAATTTTATCCAGCACCAGCCATTCAGTCCCAGTGCTACCACATCATTCCCTGTGGGAGGAGGTGGGGGGCTGTGCTGCCCATAGGTGTGTGGCAAGCCGGAAGGCAGGGACAAAGAAATCCAGAGGTTGTGAAATTTGCAGCCTTTGAAACTCACCGACCCTTCCCCTGGGTGTGCCTTGAATTCCAGTTCAGCTCAGCTTTAACCCCAGCGCCCTCCTCTTCCCAGAACCTGACCCAGGGCAGTCAGGAGCCCAGGCTCCCAGGGATGAGCCTTCCCTGCAGTGCTCTGTCCTGGGATGGCCTCACCCCCCCCCCCCATTCTGTAAGGCCAGCTACCTCCCGTCAGTCCCAGGACCCTTCTCTCCAGGACACTCCTGGGAGATCAGAGAGCTCCACAAACAGGGACCCCACTGACACTGCAGAACCGCCCACCATTTCTGCAGGGCCTCAGATTCCCCCGCTGCGCAACCCTGATCCCCAGACGGAGGGTGCTCTGGGGGACCAGCACATTCCCCTTCCACAGTCTCCAAGGAGAAGCCCATTGGCAAGTTAGGTGTAGAACCAAGCAATCCGTGAGCCCCTGGGTGTGTTAAACTCGTTCCTCTCCTCCCCCAGCCCAGTGCAGGGTCCTTCCTCCCTGTTACCAAGTCACCTTTAATTTCTCACCATGTGCTTTGCTCTTTCATTTGCTCCGTCCTCCCCCAGCGAGGGCTGGGCTCTCTGCATGCCAGCTTCTCAATAGCCCCTTCTGTCTCCTTCACGCCCCCAGGACCTTGACCCGGGCAGGGATACATTTGCTTCCCAGAGGAATGTGCCAGCAGCTGCCCAGCCTCCGAGTCCTGTGAGTAACCCACACGCTTCTCCACCGTATTTCACTGTCCCCTTCTTTGGTGTGCTTGTCTGATCCCAGCACAGCACCCAGTGAGGCAGCTCTGGGCTCCGGGACATTAGCTAATAAGACACATGCTGGGGTTGACTTCTCTCTGCTCTGAGGCTTTGTGTGCTATTCGCCCCAGTGTCAGGGCGGAGTGGAGTGGGTGCGAAGTGCTTCCAAGTCAGCATGGCCGTGTTTTGCCCCTGCTTTGCGCGGATGCCAATGGCACACCAAGTGCAGGGCTGGGGGGAATCCTACCCGCTTTGCACAAGGCATTGCGCCAAACAAACCGAGGCCTCTGAGCCCTCCCAGGCACAACTCCTGGCGGAGCGAGGGCTCCCCCTGTGTGCCTACAATGCAGCACTGATTAAGGGGGTCTGGGCCTGATTCACTTCTCACTTACCTGGTGTAAATCAGGAGTGACCCCCAGCAATGGTGTGACACTGGTGTCAGTGAGAGGGGGATCAGTCCCTAAGACTTTCCTGATGCGATGTGTGACCGTCACCAGAGCTGGTTGGAAAATGGGTTTTTTCCCCCATGGAAAATTTCAACTTTTTGGCAAAAAAATGAAAACTGGACATATTCAGTGGAAAAACTTTTGGCAAAAAAAAAATGAAAATTTGATTTGGAAATGCTGCCGAGGTGCCACTTGGGACTGTAGTGCTGAAGCCTTATGCTCCCGTTCTCCTCTATGGGCCGGTCTCTTTGGCCAGACTACATTTCCCATGATGCACCCTGGTCTCCTTTCTTGTTGAGCCGCTGTGGTGTATCCTGGGAGTCCCTGGCTATGGTGAATTGTGGGAGACCTGGTCTGGAAGGGGAACACAGATCATAGAGGGGAATGGGAGCATCAGGCAACTGGAGGCACTGTGGTAGCAATTCTGAATCAAAAAAATTAGGTTTTGGCCAAATTGTTTCAGTCTTCAGGTATTTGGGGATTTTTTTGAAAAAAAGGATCCAAATTTTCCACCGAAAGCAGAGACTTTTTGTGAAAATTTTCATTTAGTCAAAACCCCACTTTCGGTTGAAAAACTGTTTGGATGGGAAATTTTTGACCAGCTTTACCAATCATGCTTTCCTCTCCTCTGTGAACTAGATGGTTTTGCCTCTTTCTCTAATATTTTCCTTGGTGTCTTTTCTCTGCCTCAGGCCATTAATTCTATTCATTATTGATGGGAGACAGAAAGGCTGTTGGTTAATTCTCCCTTTTTTATAGTGCTCTCAGGTCAGGCAAAGCAAGGGTCAATGTCTGTGTGGTATGGTAGAGTTGTCTAGTGGTTAAAGCAGGAGACTAGTTCTCTCTCTCTCTAAGGTACTTTTCTGGCCTTCATCACCATGGTATCTGAGCACCTCACAATTTTAATGTATTTATCCTCACACATCCCTGTGAGGCAGGACAGTGCTATTAGCCCCATTGTACAGATGGGGAACTGAGGCCCAAAGAGACTAAATGACTGCCACAAGGTCACACAGGAAGCCTGTGGCTGAATTAAGAATTGAACCTGCTAGGAGTCAGGACTCGGGGACTTTGTGCCTGGCTCTGTCACTGACTGTACGTCTTTGGGCAAGTCACTTCATCACTCTATGCCTCAGTTTCCCCACCTCTACAGTGAGGAAAATAGCTCACAGGAGGCATAGTTAATGTTTGTAAAGTGTGTTAAGATTCTGGGCTGGACAGTGCCATAGAAGTACAAAGTATAAGGACTAACGGTTGTACGGGGGGGGAGTTTGAGGGCAAATGCTTGTGACTGGTGCAGTGTGGGCAGGGCCGGCTCCAAGCACCAGCGAAGAAAGCAGGTGCTTGGGGGCGGCCAATGGAAAGGGGCGGCACGTCCGGGTCTTTGGCGGCAATTCAGCGACGGGTCCCTTAGTGCCTCTCGGAGCGAAGGACCCGCCGCCAAATTGCCGCCGAAGAATGAAGCGGCGCGGTAGAGCTGCCGCCGAAGTGCCGCCAATTGCGGCTTTATCTTTTTTTTTTTTCCCGCTTCGCCGCTTGGGGCGGCAAAAAAGCTGGAGCCGGCCCTGAGTGTGGGGCACAGATGGCCCAGCAAGGACTTGGGGGGGGGAATCACATTTTGAATGACGTCCTGGAATGGGGGAGATGCAGCTGACAGGCAGGAACATCCTGCACTGGCTGTAATGATACACTGAACATGCCGTCCTCCCAGAGAAGGGTTCAAAATCAGGATCAGGCCGGTGGTGCAGCTTGGTGCATGTGCAGTGCCTGAGAACAGGCACCACCACCACCACCCTGACTACCCTGTGAGCTAACATGTCTCCTGGCCTCTGAAAGTGCATCTGCCGCGCTCATCCATCCCCAGGTGCAGGAGGGGAGCCTTGACATGCACAATTCCCTGCTCTGTCTGTGCAAAGGCAAGGCTTCATGCAGGCCTCCCCAAATGTTGCCGCTGCCTCTGGGGCGGGGGCTGGGTGGGGAGAGCTACGCAGCCCTGCCCCTCAAGAAAAGCCAATCCCCAGCGGTAGAAGCGGCTCGTATGTGACGGATGGAGCTGCGCTGGGGCTGGGTGAGCAGGTGAGCCATTGAGCAAGCTGTGCACAATGCAAGGAAATGAACGAGGAAATCAGTGCCAAGTGTCAGGTGTGCGGAGAGCAGATCTGCCTCTGTGCCGGGGTTTCCTGCTTTCCCCAGCTGCACGGCCCGAGGTCAGTCCGCTCCCCTCCTTAGCAATATCTGCTTTCCAAGAATGCTCTCGGGATGGCCTGCTTTGCTTTTAATCTCCTGCCATGTCTGTGGCATTCCTTTCCCACAGCGAGCTCTCGCACAATCAAATCGAGGAGCTGCCCAGTTTCCACAGGTGCCAGCGGCTGGAAGAAATGTGAGTCGAGAGATTCCCTCCTTCAAAGCTTGGTTCGGGGGCGGGGGGCCCTCTTGAGGCGGTCCTGGCTCGGAGGAGACCCGAGGGACTGAGCAAGGCGTGGGAGATCCAGATCCAAGGAGATAAAAACTCAGCCGGGGTTTTGCCAGGACTCAAATCCATGTTGGGGGTGAAAAGTTCAGTTCACTAACACTGGACTCAGATCCCCTGAAATAAGCAAGAGAGGCTGTGCTAAGGGCCCAGCACCATCTGGGGTGCACTGAGAATTAGTGTTATTATATATGGAGATATACCTACCTCATAGAGCTGGAAGGGACCCTGAAACGTCATCAAGTCTAGCCCCCTGCCTTCACTAGCAGGACCAAGTACTGATTCTGCCCCAGATCCCTACGTGGCCCCCCCTCAAGCAGGGCCGGCTCCAGCATTTCTGCCGCCCCAAGCAAAAAAAAAAAAAAAAAGCCGTGATCGCGATCAGCGGCGGCAATTGGGGGGGAAAAAAAAAAAAAAAAAGCTGTGATCGGCAGGTCCTTCGCTCCTAGAGGAAGTGAGGGACCTGCCGTCCCCAAATTGCCACAGGTGCCGCCCCTCTCCCTTGGCTGCCCCAGGAACCTGCTTGTTAAGCTGGTACCTTGAGCCGGTCCTGCCCTCAAGGATTGAACTCACAACCCTGCATTTAGCAGGCCAATGCTCAAACCACTGAGCTATCCCTATTATGTGGAATAGTCACCCCAGCCATGGACCAAGGCCCGTTGTGCTAGGTGCTGTACAAACATAGAACAAGGAGATGCTCCCTGCCCCAAGGAGCTTAACCCACAAGGAGCCTTCTCCGGAGAGATCCCAGCCCCAGAAGGAGAAAGAAGGGCTTGATTGCATTCAGCTCTGCTTTAACTTCATATAAAGTTTAATTCCCCATCTGAGCATCCTCTGATCTATTCCAGCCGATGGCATTAATAGGACCCCTATCACCATGGTAGCTAAGGTTAAGATTTTCAAAAGGGCCTAAGCGAGTTAGGTACCTATATCCCATTGAATTTGCCTTGGGCCCAGGTATCCTGCGATTCTACAGCTGCAGAATTGGCTGTGGAATTCACCCACTTGCCGTAGAGCTGTGCTCCACAATCGGACCTTTCATTTAAAATGATATGTGTCTAGCCTTTATGGTTGGGGAGAAAACCTTGAAAATAGAAACTGAGTTTAATCGGTCATGGGGTCTGCCTGAGTCTGCAGACAGCCTGAACCAAGAGATGCTCGGGAACAGCACAGAGACCTGGCAGGGGAGCAGACAGACATGAGGGCTGAGGGTGAGTCCTCCAAAGCATTACAGCTGAAGATGAGATGCTTGAATGTGTTTCAGTAGGCAAGAGGAAGGGAGGGTAGGATGCCCACTCACAGCAGGACAGATGGAATTGCTTGTGAAGCATGGATTCCCCTTAGGGGCGTGGTGGAGTCTTCATCAGCTGGAGTCTTTACAGCAAGATTGGGTGTCTCTATCTAGAAACTCTGCTCTAGCTCGACCGCAACTTATGGGCTGGATGCAGGGATCCCTGGGTGAGGTTATGCAGCAAGTCAGAGCAGATGCTCAGAATGGCTCCTCTGGCCTTTCTGAATGTGTGACTTAGAGACAGACTGGGCTGCGAATACGAGCTGGTCTTGTGGGCAGTGCAGAGAAGAGCTCCGTGAAAGGATCGCACCTCCCGGAGTGCATGGGGAGTGTATGGTTCCATAAGCCAGTGCAGCATGGCTCCAGCCAGGGCCATGATACCTTCCCACCCCCTTGGGTGGCTTGTGCCCTGGGTTGCCGGGGGCGTGGTCATTGCATTCAGGGGAATGCAGGGATAGGGCTTGCACATGGTACGTGGCTGAGACTTAAAGAGGGTGCAAAGCATGGGATTTGGAGATGGTGGGTCAGAGCTCACGCCTCTGAATGGCTCTTTGTGAAGGGCTGGATTGAATCTGCTCCTTGCAAGTGAGTGTGCGCGCACACACACACACACACTCACTCTCACGCTAGCGTCAGTCACTGTCTAGCCCTATAGCGAAGAGCCATTCGGGGCACGCATTCTGACTCACCGCCTCCAAGCTTTGCACTGTTGTGGAGCACCCAAGCTCCATGGTGGGAGGGTGCATGGAATGGGAGCAGCGGCCCGGAAAGGCTGGGAACGCGGGAGCCTTTGACAAGCCCAGACAGATGGTTCTTTTGCTGTGGGGGTGGGGGGTTGTGTGTGTGAAAGGGAACGCTGTCTGAGACCCAGCGTGGTGCTTGGGAGAGGGCTGGGTTTGGGTTGCTTTGTGTCCTGACCCGCTCACCCCTTGAAATAAGAGCAGGGTTGACAAGCTTTCTTCTGCTGCCAGGGGGCCCGGAGAGATCCTCTCTCTCATGCCAGCCTCTCTGTCTTTTCAGAGGCCTCCAGCACAACAGGATCCATGAAATCAGAGCAGACACCTTTGGGCAGCTCGCGGCCCTGCGCTCCATGTGAGTACAGCTCTGGCTCCGCCGGCACTGGAAACTGCGGGGCTCTTTGTTGTGAGGAAGGGGAACTGTGGGCTCACTGCCAGGTGTGTGCAGGGTGCTCACGCAGTCCCAGACCTGAAAGCTTTGCTTGCACTGCTTGGCTCTTGGGTCCCAAACACCCGCCCAGGGGAAGCAATGGACCACAGGGCTATACGGGCACATGGGATAAAAGCCCTTTGAGCTGGTGAAAACCAGCTCCAGGCAGAGAACTCATGGACTCTGGCAGTGGCTGGGTGCAGATCATGCCAATAATGGCAGTGCATAAGAATGACCATACTGGGTCAGACCAAAGGTCCATCCAGCCCAGTATCCTGTCTGCCAACAGTGGCCACTGTCAGGTGCCCCAGAGGGAGTGAACCTAACAGGTAATCATCAAGTGATCTCTCTCTTGCCATCCATCTCCACCCTCTGACAAACAGAGGCTAGGGACACCATTCCTTACCCATCCTGGCTAATAGCCATTAATGGACTTAACCTCCATGAATTTATCTAGTTCTCTTTTAAACCCTGTTATGGTCCTAGCCTTCACAACCTCCTCAGGCAAGGAGTTCCACAGATTGACTGTGCTCTGTGTGAAGAAGAACTTCCTTTTATTTGTTTTAAACCTGCTGCCCATTAATTTCATTTGGTGGCCCCTAGTTCTTATATTATGGGAACAAGTAAATAACTTTTCCTTATTCACTTTCTCCACACCACTCATGATTTTATATACCTCTATCATATCCCCCATTAGTCTCCTCTTTTCCAAGCTGAAAAGTCCTAGCCTCTTTAATCTTGCCTCATGTGGGACCCGTTCCAAACTCCAATCATTTTAGTTGCCCTTTTCGGAACCTTTTCTAATGCCAGTATATCTTTTTTGAGATGAGGAGACCACATCTGTACGCAGTATTCAAGATGTGGGCGTACCATGGATTTATATAAGGGCAATAAGATATTCTCCGTCTTATTCTCGATCCCTTTTTAAATGATTCCTAACATCCTGTTTGCTTTTTTGACTGCCGCTGCACACTGCATGGACATCTTCAGAGAACTATCCACGATGACGCCGAGATCTTTTTCCTGTTTAGTTGTAGCTAAATTAATCCCCATCATATTGTATGTATAGTTGTTGTTATTTTTTCCAGTGTGCATTACTTTACATTTATCCACATTAAATTTCATTTGCCATTTTATTGCCCAATCACTTAGTTTTGTGAGATCTTTTTGAAGTTCTTCGCAGTCTGCTTTGGTCTTAACTATCTTGAGCAGTTTAGTATCGTCTGCAAACTTTGCAACCTCACTGTTTACTCCTTTCTCCAGATCAGTTATGAATAAGTTGAATAGGACTGGTCTTAGGCCTGACCCTTGGGGAACACCACTAGTTACCCCTCTCCATTCTGAGAATTTACCATTAATTCCTACCCTTTGTTCTCTGTCTTCTAACCAGTTCTCAATCCATGAAAGGATCTTCCCTCTTATCCCATGACAGCTTAATTTACGTAAGAGCCTTTGGTGAGGGACCTTGTCAAAGGCTTTCTGGAAATCTAAGTACACTATGTTCACTGGTTCCCCCTTGTCCACATGTTTGTTGATCCCTTCAAGGAACTCTAATAGATTAGTAAGACATGATTTCCCTTTACAGAAACCATGTCGACTTTTGCCCAACAAGTTATGTTCTTCTATGTGTCTGACAATTTTATTCTTTACTATTGTTTCAACTAATTTGCCCAGTACTGATGTTAGACTTACCGGTCTGTAATTGCCGGGATCACCTCTAGACCCCTTTTTAAATATTGGCATTACATTAGCTATCTTCCAGTCATTGGGTACAGAAGCTGATTTGAAGGACAGGTTACAAAACCTAGTTAATAGTTCTGCAATTTCACATTTGAGTTCTTTCAGAACTCTTGGGTGAATGCCATCTGGTCCCGGTGACTTGTTACTGTTAAGTTTATGAATTAATTCCAAAACCTCCTCTAATGACACTTCAACCTGTAACAATTCCTCAGATTTGTCACCTACAAAGGACAGCTCAGGTTTGGGAATCTCCCTAACATCCTCAGCCGTGAAGACTGAAGCAAAGAATTCATTTAGTTTCTCCGCAATGACTTTATCGTCTTTAAGCGCTCCTTTTGTATCTCCATCATCCAGGGGCCCCACTGGTTGTTTAGCAGGCTTCCTGCTTCTGATGTACTTAAAAAACATTTTGTTATTACCTTTTGAGTTTTTGGCTAGCCGTTCTTCAAACTCCTCTTTGGCTTTTCTTATTACATTTTTACACTTAATTTGGCAGTGTTTATGCTCCTTTCTATTTACCTCACTAAGATTTGACTTCCACTTTTTAAAAGATGCCTTTTTATCTCTCACTGCTTCTTTTACATGGTTGTTAAGCCACAGTGGCTCTTTTTTAGTTCTTTTACTATGTTTTTTAATTTGGGGTATACATTTAAGTTGGGCCTCTATTACGATGTCTTTGAAAAGTGTTCATGCAGCTTGCAAGGATTTCAGTCTAGTCACTGTACCTTTTAATTTCTGTTTAACTAACCCCCTCATTTTTGCATAGTTCCCCTTTCTGAAATTAAATGCCACAGTGTTGGGCTGTTGAGGTGTTCTTCACACCACAGGAATGTTAAATGTTATATTATGGTCACTATTTCCAAGCGGTCCTGTTATAGTGAATGGAAGTGAATGAAGCACAGGGCAGAAAACACACACATTAATATATGTATGTGTGCACCACAAATACACAGATGCCCTCCGTACACACATCACATACACTAACCACACATATTAACCCCACAGAAATACCACACGTGCTAATCACACACAAACATATGCACACTATGCAGCACCTGTACTAACTACACAAACACACAGACGCTACACCCTGCACATACTAACCACACACATTTGCACACTACTTACTACACCTACCAACTGCACACAGATGCTGTAGTGTACACCACACATGCCACAGCTACTAACCACACACATTCACCCACTGTATCCCATGTGTACTAACTACACACACACAAACTCATACGGACACACAACTGCCCACTAACCCCATCCATTCGCGCCATGCATGCTAATGCGTGCACACCAGCACTTCGCACACACTTGCACACCCGAGCCCTACAGATTCCGGCCCTGCTTGCCCATTCCTGGGGGCCTCCCTGTAGGGTCACTGTACCGGGAGCAGAGGGTACAGGGCCAGTAGCCTGCTGCTTTGGCACTAAGGGGAAGCCGTGAGCTGCCAGTACCTCGGAGTTTAGTATTTCAATGCAAAAATCCCCAAACTTGCAGAAAGAAGCTCAGGGGGGGGGGGGGGGGGGAATCTTTCCTCAGGGGCCAGCCAACTTGGGCCCTGACAGGGGCTGTGCAGCCTTCGCCCTAACGGAGCTGGATTCCAAAGCTCCAGGGGGTACGGATCTGGCTTGATTTCGGATGGCTTCCTTGCTGAGAGAGAGCCCAGGACATTCAGTGATAACACCCAGAGTCCCAGCAGCCTGGGGGAGAATGGAGGGAGGGAAGAAGGGACATGGGGAGAGGAAAAGGAGAATGCACATGCCAGCAGAGGGGACTCAAGAGGTTTTACTGGGGATCCGGTCTGGGCTGATGAGAATTTGGCCTTCCTCAGTAAGAGAGGGGTCTCCCCAGGGCGTGGTGAGGACCAGGGGAGCTTGGACATTGAGATTTGAAGGGGTAGTGGCTGGGTTTCACATCTTGGCCTACCAATCTCGATAGCTTCCCCATTCACAGGCACCCCACCATTCTCCTCAGCCCCTCTCACCGCCATGTACTTGCCTTGCAGAGACCTGAGTTGGAATTACATCCAGTCGATTCATCCGGAGGCCTTTGCGACCCTCCACTCGCTCACCAAGCTGTAAGTTGCTTCGAGATTACTCCTGCAGTGGGACAAGGAAAGTGCTGTTGTGGGGACCTCAGGTTCCCTCGCAGAAAGGGGGCTGGGCAAAGATGCTCACACACGCCAGTGATGAGTGTGGTATAAATGCCCACACAGACAGACTGGCAGACAGGATGCCTTGGTGGGCCCTGCATGGTTGCTGTGGTGCTCATGAAAACACATGCACCTGAACGTGCCTCTCAAGTGAAATCTTGAAGCTCCAGAAAGAGTCACAGAGTTTAAGTCCGGAAGGGACACACAAATCATCCAGTCTGACCTCCTGTGAATCACAGGCCACTAAACACCACCCAGCCACCTCCATCCCAAGCTCCACAACCAGAATTAAAACAAGGTATTACTGCCCTCAGGGGACTCAACTGTTATGTGCCACAGGCAGAGAATAGGAGGGACCAAGGTGCACCAGTGCCCAAGGCCTACAATGGCAGGGATTGGATTTGGTGAGATACTCAGATGAGCATAGCAAGTGACCTGCACCCCATGCTGCAGAGATAGGCACAAACCCTCAAGGTCCCTGCCCATTTACCTCCCATGGGGTCCATATTTTCCCTAGACACCTTTTGCTAATGATCAGCGTGGATGCTATATCAACACGGGACTTAGACCCCGCTCCTCAAAGGTTGCTTTCGTTGGGAGTTAGGATCCTAAATACTTTTGAGGATCTGGGGCCTTCCTCTTCTTATTCAGCCTTCTTCCATGCCATGATCCTGCCGTGAAGCTAGTGATAGCTCACCAGTCTAAACGTATCAGGGGATGGGTATTGACCAAAAGTCATCATCGTCTGATGACCATTCAGTAGCTTACGTGCAAAGATCCGTTGGTCTCTGTTGCTAACGGACAGGTGTCCAGTCCCCAGAATTGCTGGGTAGCAGCCTGAGCAGGGGGCCAAGGGCTGAGTTTGAATGGGACACACTCTGACCCCTTCACTAGAGAGCTGAGGCAAAGTCTCACCCTAGGTCAGGACTGAGCCGCGTTAACAGGGCAGGATGAGTACGCTTGGGCTGCGGCTGTCCATGCTGTAGCTGATCAGGGGATGAACGAAAGACTTCACCCTATAGCTGAAGCTAATGTATGGGCAGAGCGTCAGCAAACTGAGTACGTGATTGCAATCAGGGGTAGGACCCTACTTTTGATGTCATGTGGAAAATACCAGAGATAGTGCTTTGCCACGCTAATTGGCCTTCCAAGACCCAAACCCAGAAAATCGTCTAATTTATAAGACCTCAAGAAAATGGGAAGTGATGGATGATGGGAGCGGGGGAGCAGATCAAGGCATTCTAATACCATGATTACGAGAGCAAGGTAGAAAACCAAAGTAGAGCTTACAGCAATGGCCAGCAGTGACGGAGTCTTCCTAATAGTGGGAGGCAACAAGGCCCCGCCCACTCTGTGGCCCTGCCCCTCCTCTACCCCCCAAGGCCCCGCCCCCTGGCCAAGCCGGAAGCTGGCGCTGAACCGGGAAGCCCAGGCCCCTCCACCTGCCTGGGGTGGGGGGGCCTGAGAGCAGCCCCTGGCCTGTGTCCCCACCCCCAGCACTCCCAACCAGGGCAGGTGGAGGGTCCACGGCTTGCCACAGCTGCCCACACAGCTCTTACCCCGACCGGGCTCCAGCTTCTGGCCTTGCCGGGGGGCAGGGCCTCAGGGGGAAGAGGAGGGGCAGGGGCTAGGCCTGTGGCGAAAAGGGGATGGCCCAGGCCTGTCCACTTTCAACAAGTGGGAGGGCCATGGCCCCTCGGCACCCCTGGCGACGGCACTCCCCTAATGATTGCTGTATCTTTTCATTCATCCCCAAATTGGGACTGGCCCCCAGTCAGCGCCCAGCAACACTTCCTGCCCTCTCCATTTCAGTATCATATTTTGGACATCCGCCAGGTCAAGATGACCATGGGCCATCTGCAGAGCTGTCCAGCCTCTCTTGGTTAACACACCTCTGATCAGCAAACCCCTAATCCTGCTGCCCCTCCTTCTTTTCACTACAACAGAGATTTGACCGACAACCAGCTGGTAACCCTGCCGCTGAATGGTTTGGGTGGACTGACCCATCTGAAGCTCCAAGGCAACCCAGCGCTGTCTGAACCCTTCAGCAAAGAAAGCTTCCCTAAGATGAGGTATGGTTTGGCTCTGGGTGCCTGGTTCACCTTTATCCTCCGAGCTCCATGTGGGTCTCGCCAATGGGCCTTTATTTGTTTATTTCAATCAGACTCCTGCTCTCCTTGTTTACTGGACATTTTCCTGCCATTCTTCCAGGCCGGCAGGTCGAGAAAGCCCAGCTTCATGCTAACACTCCGCATCCATCCTTCCGAGCCTTCCGTGGGAAACCGATGTTCCGCTTAACGTCCCATTGCTCACATCCGCCAAACACACACACAAGCAGAGCTCGTGAAGCCAGGGGCGTGAGCCTGGGGCGTCTCTGAGCGGAAAACATTCTCAGAAGCCAGTTCTAGCTAATGACATCCAGCTTTCCTTCAGTAAACGCTGTTTGTGTGGCCGGGTCTTGTCTGCTATGGATTAATGAGCCGCCCGAAGGGGTCACATTAAGCAGCTAAACAAGACAATGCTGCATAAGGCACCGAGGCCACCTCTGCACTGGGAATGCCGGCTTTGTGTTCCCAGCGGCGCTGGCGACCCTCAGCACCTATGTTAGCAGTGAGTTCTTAGCGCCGTCCCCTTGTCACAGTGAGCTGTGGCTCGTGTCCGAGCCACATTCATGCCCTGACTCGGAGGTGAAGGCCAGCATTTTTCAAAAGTGGCCTCTGATTTGGGGAGTCCTTGTTATTGGGTGGTTTTCAGAGGTGGTGTATGCTCCAAGCTGGAGCCACGGGGTCTCGGTACCTATGCAAATCAGACCCAAAGTGTCTCAAGTTGGGCTTCCAAAAATGGAGGCTGCCAGCATCAGAGGCCGTTTTTAAAAATGTTGGTGTTTGCAGCTGAGGGATTGGTGGGGATAAGCCGCACACTGCCTTTTAAATCTGCCTCGTCAATGTGACCCCAGAGGCTCTCTCTCTCTTGATCCCTGCCTTGTTATAGCAGCATCCTGTTCTGTGGCTGTTTCCCAAGAGGTAGCCCAGAAAAATTGGATGGCTTGTTATATCCCATGTCCTGACATGCAGGCTAATACCATGCAGTGACATTGGGCCAAATTCAGCTCTCCCAGGCAATGGTGTGAATCCAGACTAACCCTAGTGATGTCCATTTAGCTGGTTTGGATTTACATCGGTGTAACTGACATGGGGAAGGTGGGCCTTCGACTCAGACTCAGCCTGTGCACCCACTGATCTTTCCAAAACATCGGCTTGCCAGTGCTAGAGAGACCGTATCAATCCTAATTGCTGCCCTTTCTGATGGGGGCATCTGGAAACAGTTCTTAGCCACCTCCTAAGGATCTTCACTTTCTTACCACCTTTTGGTAATAGGATTTAATCTGGAGTTTACAACAGGAAGCAGATCTGTATACAGAGTTCCCATCGCCTCCCGGGGCTCGGCCAGAAATGTTTGGTAACTTAAAACGAAACCATATTTTTAGACTATAGAGTTTCCCCAGATTTACTAATCCTGTCAAAAGACCTTAACTGCCGGAAAAACTGAAGACTGTCTCGACTGGATTGCCAGGCTTTACTGGCTTCCAGAAACGAAGCAGGCATTTGCTGTCAGTGGTGGAAGTGCCATTTCAGCCTGATAGCCCTGATATTTAACTCTGATGATATTCAGCTGCAGTTTAATTGACCTTGTAATACAGGATGTAATTACTGGCCCTGCTTCTGATTAGCAGTCAGCTGCATTCAGGTATCTCGCTGAATTCGAGAAACATAGCTAGGCTTCCTTGAGTGGGCTGGCAGGGCATGACCCAGGGCCATAGGGCTGGCAGAGCTAGTTGGGGTATCCCCGACTTCTGATTCTAATCTAACCCCTGTGCCCGAGTCCCCCTCATCCTCAGAGTTTTTGGTGAGTCCATCACCATGCTGGATAGCTACCGTCTCGATGCCTCCGCCAAAGTGAGGTGCACATGCAATGTTCTCAAGAGCCTGGGCAGGTGCAGGTAGCACTGGGGCATCATCTAGGGACTGTAATGGGAGCTGAGCATCCAGCCGGTGTTGGGTGACACGCTGTGGGCTGAGGGCACAGTGGAGGCCTGGCCTGAGGACTGGGATCCTAAGTTGCATTTTCAGAAGAACAAGCTACTCCACATACTGGAAGGTCACTCAGGTGAGAGGCACAACCAAGCCACAGCGTGAGGTGCTCCAGTAGCAGACTGCCCCAGGGCGGCTCTGTAGTTTGTGCACCTTCCAAACAGTCGGCAAAAAGGGTAAAAATACACCCCCCAAGACACAGGCACCTGCTTGAGGGCCAGGGAGGGTAGCACTCAGCCATCTGGCTCCCAAGGGGAGTCATGAGTTATTACTTGTAAAGCAAGGTGAAGCTGGGAAGTACGCGCATGACACTTAGCCATGTTGTCACAATGTCCTCAGCTTGCTGTGAGGTTAAATACTTGCTTTTAACTTGTTCTTTGGATCCTGGACATGTGTACTAATCGGTTCAGGAACAGGACACCCACCTACTCCTGCCCTGTGCTGCCTGAGTCACTTACAGCAGGGCAAAGGATGCAGAGCGCCCCCCATCCTGGTTTAGTCGCATTTTGCACTGACTGCACCGAGCGTAGGGCAATGGGAAATCAGGCCCTTGGTTTCACGAACAGTGACGTGTTACATTCTCAGCACACACACACAGAGAAACCTCACTGAAAGGTTGCAACGTAACATAACGTTGTTTCTTGGACTCCAGAACGATAACACACAAGAATCCAAAAAGCAGAGAGAACAAAAACAGGCTGCTCCCTAAGGCACAACTCTCCCAACCTGGCTTTTAAGCTGCCTCTTTCCAGGCTGACCCACATTGCAGGCTTTGCTATAGAGCCCCATTGCCTGCAAGCAGGAAACTCTCCCCACTCTTCAAGCGATAGCTTGCAATTCCAACACAGTCCACATGAAGTAGCTAAGAGACCTGCTTTTCCCCTCCGTAGAATCCTAGAAGTGCCCTATGCCTACCAGTGCTGCGCCTATGGAGTCTGTAGCAACTTCTTCAAGGTATCCAGCCAGTGGGAGACAGAAGACATGAGCCCGGAAGATGAGGATACCCACAAGAGGAGCATGGGGTTGTTTCCGGGTCATGCTGATAACCACTGTAAGTAAATTAGGCTGAGCTGTGATCAATTCATAGGCCAGGTTTGGCTGTATATTTGGGCCTGATTCTGCATTCTCTTACACTGGGGTACATCAGGAAGAACTCCAGCGAAGGCAATGATTGGCATTAGATCAGTGTAAAATAGAAGCAGGCCCACAGTTTTCCATGTCTGGCTGGTCAGGGGGTGTATCATTTCCTGGATGCTGACACTTTGGGCTGCAATCAGTGTCACTGTCTAAGGGCCCAGTGGAGCTAGGCTGGAATCTCCAAAACAGCCTGGATTGGACAGAATGGCCTGGAACTCGTCAGCAGCTGGGGGGCAGGCTCCCTGGTGGCCTCACATTTAGGAAAGAGCAGTCCCCTCCCACAATTCTTTTACTTTCAGGACTATTTCTCCCCTCAAACAATCTGACCTGAGTTAGTGACTGGGCCATTTGGTCATCCTGTGACAGTGCAACTGCCGGGCAGAATGCTGATCATGCAGCATCTCTGTCTCTAGTGTAACACACCAGATAAGGACACCGCTCAGGGTGAATACTGCTTGTAAGAGAATAAAGAAGGACGAGAAAGCATAAAGCACAGAACTGGAACAAGGATTGGAAATCACAGAGGGTACAATGAAAAACAATCCTTTTGTGCCTGGCGATCAAAACATCAGGCAAAAGTGGCCCACAGTCAGGCACGAATAAAAGGAAACACTGCTCCATCCGGCAAACACTGTCAGCCTGTGGGCTCAGATGAGATAAATACTGGGGCTAGATTATGCAGGAGTGATAGCATAGTTAAGATTGAATGAAGCTTTCTGTTTCAGAGCCAGTTTTTCAAAGCACTGTAAAATGCACATAGAATCATAGAATATCAGGGTTGGAAGGGACCTCAGGAGGTCATCTAGTCCAGCCCCCTGCTCAAAGCAGGACCAACACCAACTAAATCATCCCAGCCAGGGCTTCGTCAAGTCTGACCTTAAAAACCTCTAAGGATGGAGATTCCACCACCTCCCTAGGTAACCCATTCCAGTGCTTCACCACCCTCCTAGTGAAAAAGTTTTTCCTAATATCCAACCTGAACCTCCCCCACTGCAACTTGAGACCATTACTCCTTGTTCTGTCATCTGCCACCACTGAGAACAGCCTAGGTCTTGAAAATTGCTGTGCCCATGAGAGCCAGGAATAGAGTTGGTGAGCAAATTTGGGGTCATTTGGTACAGTGGATCAGCAGATATAGCCTCCTCCCCCTCCCCCCCACTGAAAAAATGACCAGCCTCTAAGATGTTCTGGTTCTGATTTATGCCCAGAGCTGGAATGAGAGGTACATATATGCAGGAGCCACATAAATTGACATCAGTAGACATCCCCTGATCTCATCTCGTGAAGGACACCAAAAGCCAGCTGCTGATTGTAATATTTCCAGAGTTATTAGACTGGCTGCATAAAGTGCTATGCAGGCTGCTGCAACCCAGATCCAGTACAGGAGCATGTCAGTTTCAAGACCATTGGTTACAGTGCTCTAAAATTGACAGGCGCATTCAGATCATCTTGAAATTTGGTGTGCCGTTAGAGAGCCTGGGGTAGAGTTTGTGGCGTAAATTTGGGGTGATTTGATCAGGCAGGCTCCCCAGACACATTCTCCTCCCAAGTGACCTGTCTCAAAGTACTCCCGAATGTACATGCTTAGACAGATTACCTTGAAAAGAGCTTTAGGGTGCAAAGTTGGGACCATGCAGTCAAGGGTCTCCTGAGATAAAGCCCCTCCACACACACCCAAATGACCCGCCTTTAATTAACAAAGTGCTCTAAAACGTACATGCACAGCCCAATTTGCCTGAAAACTGAGGAACCATGGGTCAAGCCCATGACTTCTGCCTTTGTCACTCTAAAAAGCTGCCGTCGTAGGTTTCACCCTGATGAAATGCATCAGTATTCTCAGGAATCGATGTTTGTTGCGCACCAAGCAAACACTGGCAGCTTCCCCCAGCAGCGTGAGCTGGATCCTTTGGTGGAGGCGGGAGTGGGAGGGGGAAACCTTCTGATAAAGGCGAATACAAATATGAGACCCACAGTTCCTGTTTAGCTGCTGATATCCAAACCAACAGAGCGAAGTAAGAGCATTTCACAGTGCAGCCGGGAGACTGCTTGATTTTTTACGTGTTTGTGTAAATACGTGACCCCACGCACATTGACTAGTTATGGAGTCACTTGAAAGGAGAAACAGATCAGGCTCAATCCTCCTTCTGGGCCAACAAGTGCCCGGTGTGTTAGAAGGGGACACTACTCCCCTACCCCTAGGACTGCTGTGCACTGAGCCGGTCTCCTGGCATACAGACCTGCCAAATGGATGATACAGTAGCAGGCGATCTGTCAGACATAAAGGACCCCTGGCCATGCCCCCTGCATCAGCAGCAGGGAGGGAGGTGGCATAGGCGTCCACTGGTGCTGTGCCCTTGTACGCTGAGGCCTAATGCTCGTTTTAGGTGCATGGTCTGCCGGAGGTGCGGCACCAAACAGTTGTACACAGTGCAGAATCCGGGCTGTGCCTTTTTTTTGCAACTCTAAGGAGAATGCAAGGTCCACCCTTGCCTTGCCAGGCATGCTGTGCTAACCCAGAGCACGATTAATGCTTCGTTGAAAGCATGGTTCTATCCATTTTTATGTCAGAAGTTGCTATGGTGCCCTCTCCCCTGGGCCAGGAAGTGAGAAGAGTTACTCAAAAAACCAGAACTGCTCAATTCCCAACTGCAGGAAAATCTGAGATTTCAAAATTTCATTTAGCCCCAAAGAGGGACCAAAAGTCCAAATCGCCTCATTTTTCACAAAATGAACTATTCCAAACTCTTGCCTTTATCATTTTGACCATATTATATATTAGTAGAACCATTTCAACTTTTATATTACATTGTCAATTATAGTATCATAACATTCAACTCAAAATGAAAGGTTTGGGTAATTTCCCATAAAAATGCTGACAAAATCGATACATTCCCCCAAAAAATGTTTCCATTTAATGGGCTCGGCATTTTCCAGTGGAAAACATTTCCTTTGGAAAATTTGCTAGAAGGAACTTTTGGAACAAAATGAATAGCTAGATATGGAATGGAATGGGTTCCCTAGGGAGGTGGTGGACTCTCCATCCTTAGAGGTTTTTAAGGCCCAGCTTGACAAAGCCCTGGCTGGGATGATTTAGTTGGGGATTGGTCCTGCTTTGAGCAGGGGGTTGGACTACATGACCTCCTGAGGTCCCTTCCAAACCCTGATATTCTAGATGACCTCCTGAGGTCCCTTCCCACCCTGAGAGTCAATGATTCTATTATATTGGTCTGAATTATGGGTATACAGCTATGAAAATGGTCCATAGACCTCACATTATTGACCAGGGCAGTCTGTACTCCCTCCCCCCTCCGATCTATTGGAGCCTATGAATAAGCTTCATTAGTGAAAACTAATAAACTTAGCTCTTGTGAGTGCGGCAGGCCCAGGAATCATGGCAAGCTGGGTAGTAACACTGAGTAGGTGATGTAGAACCACGTGTTAACATCAGCGCTGCAGGAACCTCTTCGCAGCCTTGTCATTTTTTCCATCATTAATGTGTCCCATACTTTAACAACATTGGTGCACGCAGCTGGGGCGTTGGCCCAGCGAATTGCAGCCATTTCAATGAAATGTAAAATGAACTGGCTGTGCTATGAGTGTCAGCGACACTCCCTGCAGATCCCCACCATTCAGGGACTAGCTTTCTCACTGCCATTTGAGTCATTTGATCACTCAGTGGCTACTCTGTCGTGCTCCGATCCTGCCGGGGGCTGAGCGCCCAGAGCTCCCGTTGAAGTCAATAAGAGTTAAGGGTGTTCAGCACCTCCCAGGAGACCCTGAGCTGAATTAGTTCCAACACCTTTTAGGGTGTTCGTAGGGTATTAGGACCAGGAAGTGAAGCAGAACAATTCTGAGGGATGAGACTCTTGGCAGCCCAGAGGGAGGAAGAGCCACCTAGGCCTATGCTAAATGCCTGTCCGAATAATTCCCATGGTCTGAAGGTGCAAAGATCGTGCATTGACTGTACAAGCATGTCCTTAGCTAGGCGTGGCCCTGGCATGTCTCGGTCATTAAACATTCAATAATGGACCCTTGCGTCTCCAGTGAATGACTCACTTTTGCTCGTGAGTTTTTTAAACACATGTATAAATTGCTATTTTAACATTTTAGTAATTGTTTTATTCCCAAGGCCTCCTGTGTGGCCTTCAGCAATTGTAGCCAGGCCTTGTTACATGAATTTAGAAGGACAGTAAATTAAGTGCCTCAGTAAGGAGGAACAAAGCTTTCCGCCCTTCCCCCCAGAGATTAAGCTTCTTGCTTAAGAGCAAATAACCCAGGATTTTTGCCCAGGATGTAGCAATGGTGTGAAAGACAGGAAACTGGTGCCGTACAACCAGATTGCTCCAGGCAGATGGGAACTGCTAGCCATGGTAAGCAGTCGACCTAGGAGAAGGGACTCCAGTTTCAAACCAAGAGCATCAGACTTGGCCAGCTGGTGTGTAAAAGTTGTGCCAGTCACACGTGCTCTGTGGGTCTTTGTCTCCAGAGAGTATTTCAGTACAATGCTAGGGCGTCCCCTGTACGAGACAGGCAACTGCTTCACCTAACAGCTGTGGAAAATGGGAAAAGGCCACCGCATTCCTGGCACATGTGACTAAAGAAAGGAATCCAAGAACTATGTATGGCTTCCCTGAATGTGGGAACAATGACTGTGAAATCAAGAGAAGTGGCCAAGATGTTGAAAAGGACAGTGCACAGTGCCTGTAAACAAAAAGACAAAATTGAAGGGATTGAAATCCATGAACATCAGGGAGGGTTACAAGATAATGTATCAGGGCTCAGAAGCAAGGCGGAATGGATCAGGAATAATCATAGCAGAAATATTACAGGAAAAGGTAGTGGACATGCAAAGGAAGACTGATCAGCTGATAAAAGTTAGAATAGCACTGAACAGAGAACAAATATACATGCTGG